CTCTCTCTCTCTCTCTCTCTTTCTTTCTCTTCCTCGTTGCTTTTAACGCGTCCAGATAATTGTAATTCCTGTCGCTTGTTCTCTTCGTCTTCGCGGCGGTCGAGCGCGTTTGGATAATGCAAATAAAGAATAGCGGGGAAACTTTGTCAATTTTTTTCGCCCGGCTTTCCTTTCGGCTGTTGGTTTGCTCCTCGCTTAATTAGGAAGTTTCGATCGGGTGGCATTCGCGGGAGTTTCGAAAAGAGTGGCATTCGAGTCTGGCTCCTGTCTGGATTCTATGTACGTCGAGTTTTTGGAATTCAATCGGATCTGTGGACAAATAAATTGACTCGGTGTTTGGTCGCAACGACGAAGAATTTGATCTCGTAGACAATGTACACATTACAAAATTAAATTAAATAAAACGTTACAAGATTACTGAAGTTAGAAAGATTACAAAGTTGATGAAAAGATGAGGGCTCCAGATTTCATCCTCGTGACTAATTTTATCTCTTGATTGATCTTTGTTGCAGTTAATTGGATGTTTTTATAATAAAAATATCACTAGTGAGTTGAGAAAAATCGGATGAATTTGTTGTATCCAGAGGTCTTTTTTTGTTCTTTGTAGTACACGAATAGTGCACTATGTTATTTCTTAATGCATCTAAAATATACAGATACTATTTATTTCTGTTCATATATAGTGTACTGCTTTTATTTTCGTTATTCCTAAATAATGATTTCGTCCCATCACTTATCAATTAAAATTGGTAATTATATAAAAAGAATTTTCTACCTAATTCCATTCTTCAAACAATATTAAAAGCTATTAACTAACGTGATGCAATATGAAGCAAGGAGTCAGGAAAAACACTGCAAATGAAAAAGATATTAGTAAAAAAATATATGCCCTTCTGTCGAATCTGCATATATCTAATGATATCGCATGTTGTGTATATTTGAACTGTAAATAAGAAGTTTTGTATGATATTTGCATAAATCCATGATTTGACTCTACAAATGGAAGGCATTAGTTTTATAATTTCACGAGTAAAATATCTTTGAAAAGTTATTAGAAATCTTTCTTCAACTCTCTTTCCTCTCGAATTGAAGACATATCATTGGAAACACATTTTTAACAATTGAAGAAAAGCATTCTTTCGCACGCACATGATTTACTTTATTATTAAATCTAATAATGTTGTGATAAATATTGTTACTTAAAGTAATAATTCTCAAATTAAAAATCGTGTTTTTTTTTTGTATAAATGTCAAAAAATCTTCTGGTAGACGAAATTTGGGCTTAAAACAAGAATTGAGAACACTCTGTTTCCAAGAAACTAAAGAATCGACTCATCACATCAAACGTTTCGATTTTATTTGAATGTAGTCGATCAACCATCTTTCTCTATTTTTTTTCAACCTCCTCGCGCATTGAACCTTTATTCGACGAATCAATTTCGTGCGATTCGAAAGGAACAGCATCGCGTGATTAGTGTTTGGGAAGCTGTTCAAATCAAGATCGGCGTTTGTAGAGCTGACCGGTGCGCCCCGTCGTTACTGTGAACGATAATTAAGTTACTCGTTCGAGAGGATGCAGGTTCGGGGTTGCTCGGCGACGATTAAATGTTTCCATGAAGCGTGGATCGTTGAGACTCGTTCGAGACGCGTGTGGTCCATGGACGACTATAAAATAAAAATGCAACTAAATGATTGAAGTGTATACAATTGAAATAAGATTCGTCGATCGTCTGTTTCTCATCGATGATACCGATTTGACAAAACAAATCGCAAAGCGAAGACTCTCTTCATTTTTATAGCAAACGTATGTATTTGTATTCATGCGGAAAACTCTCAGAATAACTATTATGTCTGTTTCAAAGCTGAAACAATTAAATAATGCTTTGCGCAACAAAGAATCTGTAAATATATCAATCCCTTACCTTATGATTTCCTTCTCAATCTTAAAAGTGTATAAAAGTATAAATTACTGTGATTTGTAAATATCGCGTTGGATATAAAGCATCGAAACATTGTACCCATTGATCTTTAATTTAGAGAATTTAAGTTTAAAATTCGAATTCAATTTCTGTGGTACTGCAAATCGAAACCACAGATTCGTACTATGGGCATGACTCGATATTACAAGAATGAGAGGTTAATGTAGATATTCATAATTGATTGCGTTATTTAATGCGTTTGCTGTGTAGCCAAAGACACAATATCTATTGAATAACCAATGTTATTACTCACAATCAGTTGGATTGCAACTCAAAAAGTCATTCTATTAATGAAGTGAAATGTAGAGAACAAAATCCCCAGATTGTAAAAAAGTTGGTTTTGTTATCGTATAAAGATAAATAAGTATCTATTAGAGTACATAAGTAAGTATTTATTTGGGTGCTTAAATTATTGCAACATAAAGTATAATTCAAGTGAATCTTTTTAATTTAATCTTAATAGATATTCATGAAAAAAGTGATTAGAAAGAAAGAATATTACAATATAATAATTGTAATATAATATTATGATATAAATAAGGAAGAGTATTAGATATAAGAATTCTACAGAATGATTTTAAATATGATTAAGATATGTGTGTTTCTAATGAGAATATTAGTTTATGCGCATTAGGTTTATATAATTAACTGAAACAAATGTTTGTATAGATTTCATGAAACATTAGCTATTTATTAAATTTATTTTTATTTTTATTTTTATTTTAACTTTAGCTATTTATTTATTAAAAATGAATATGAAACTTGAAAATGCAAAAAATTAACAACAGAGAAACATAATAAGAATATTAAGCTTTCTAATCTATTTTTATATAAATATATAAAAATAGTGATGCATATAGTGTGATAGAAAAATAATTTTGTACAACCACTAATGTATATATGCGTCGTAACGTTTTTTAAACAAAAACCATATCAAAATATATTCATGTTGTTCCAACACGAATTTAATTGCTATTAATTCTACTGTAAGTGGAAAAATATCGTCATATAGAATAAAATAAAATTTGGGATTTTTAATTTTCTCTCGTTATGTTAACAATTGTATTGTATTAAAATATGATTAAATTTATTTAAAAATTTGATCCATGATAAATACTGAATATAATTGAGCGGGTATGTCAAATTGTAGACCAAATCAGTTGTAGAACAAAATATCCTTCGCCTTTGAAAAAAAAAGGACCCGAAAAAACGAAAAAGTCGAACAAAAGAGAGTAACACTACGCTAAAAGTATATGTAAAATCATTTATAAAATTCCGGTACGAACGATATATTTGTTGAAGAAAAAACTGAAAATAAATTACTTCAGGCGTCGTTTACTGCAAGCTTACCAAGTCACCGCTTTACGACTCGCCAGAGAAATTTTACGAGCGTCGCTGAATTATTTGCTCGCGAAATTGTCCGTTTCTTCGGAGTTATTCCGGTACCTGGTGACAGATTCGAGTGTTCACCCGCTCCAAAACCGTTCCGAACGATCCCCAAAAGCTTATTCCCGAGGGAACACTAAATCGTGAATAACAACATGTTTCTGCATAATAATCGTCGAAAGTGGCCACTATATCAACGAAAACACATTGTAATAAACGTATAC